TTTCTTCCCTTCCTTCCCTTCCTTCCTTCCTGCACAGATCTGTGCGTTCCCCCCCCCCATAGGTAGCAATCCAAAACAGTCCAGTGGCACCTTTAAGAACGTGCGAGGACAGAGCTGCACGTTTCCCCCCCCCCCACTAGCTAGCAATCCAAAACAGTCCAGTGGAGCCTGAGTGGTGGGTGTTGCCTTCTGACACACTTCCAGTGATGTCAGGGGGTGTGGCATATGCAAATGAGTTATGCTAATGAGTTATGCTAATGAGCTCCTGCACCTCTTATTCTACGAAATGACCCCTGCTTAACACACATATACATACTAGCATTCCTGAAGAGTGAATTTAAATTATGGGTTTTATGTTTCTAATGTAAATTGTTCTGCATGTTTTATCTATGTTTGTTCGTTGCCTTCGTAAGCAAGAAAGGTGAGTAATCAATGTTTAAAATAAACGAAGAAATGGAAGACTCACATTCTGGTCCAGGTGGATCTCCAGCAGGGCCGCAGTCACGTAAGCCGTCAGCGAGAACTCGTCGCCCACCCCACCCTGTGGACAGAAGAGGAAGCAGAGGAGACAAGCCGAGCCACAAGAGCTCTTTTCCTCCTTGCGAGAAAGGTCAAATCTGCATTTGCATTTTTAAATCAGTTTCGTGCTGCCGTGACACCGTCTTTCTCTGTGCATGTTTGAACGTTGTTTGGAGAAGATTCTTTTAAAGCAGTGCGGAGGTGCAATGACAGTGGAGCCGCCACGAAAGAGCGATATACATATGCGGACATGCAAAAGTATGCTAGCACTCTTGAGGTGTGAAAACGAAACCAAACGTAGGCAGCTTTTTTGAAGACGGAGCCAGAAGGCTGGGACACCGGTGGGAAAGACAAATGCAGATCCGACCAAAGAGTTTTCCCTGCCCCAAAACCTCAATACAAGCCTGAAGCCTCCGGAGATATTCTCCGGAAACCAAAAACCTGAACTTCCGTTAGCAGGACCTCTGGCATGAAGGATAACATTAGAAAAAGTTTGCATCTCAGAATGGAGAAATGTTGTTCTTGGCACGTCTGGGACTTTGTAGACCTCTCACCTCCATACTCCAGAAAGGTCATGTACACTTTCGACATATTCTAATGCTGCTAGGGATGCCAGACTCCAGGTGGGACCTGGGGATCCCCGGAATTACAGCTCGTCTCCAGACTAGAGAGATCGGTTCCCCTGGAGGAAATGGATGCTTGGAGGGTGGACTCTATGGTATCGTACCCCACTGAGGTCCCTGTCCACCCCAGGCTCCATCCATCCATAGAATTGAATATTTTGCTCTCTTCTATTTCAGTGCAAAGTCACATGGGAAACCTTTTAAGCCAGATGTTGAGTGAACTGTTACTGGGTGGTGCATCTATTTCAATGCACGTAGACAACTACTGCAGTTTCTACCAGGCGTTAGGCCTCGACCCCCTCCTCTCTTGGAAGGACAAGTCTGGTACCTATAAACAGGTGACACAGGCAACCTTTCCTCTCTTAGCATCTCACAGGGTCACTCAAGACTCTTCCCTGGTCTGCAAATGGGATCAAAATAGGTCCTATAGTCACATGGGATGTGTGCTGTCAGATATTGACCAGAGGCTTGTCTGGGAAAACTGATCCCAAAGGTGCATTGTGAAAGGGTCTGGTTCCTGGCAGTTCCCTTTCCCTCTTTAAATCCATCAGTGTCAAAGATTGATTTCTCAGAAAAAGACAGTAAAACTAACTCATTCCCCCACCTGGCCTTCCCTTACCTGGTTATCCTATGTGAGTCTATAGTCAAAACCATTTTAATACCATAATACCCCTTTGTAATGATCTCCTGTCCTAGCAATTAGAGGTCACCCAAGACAACAGACATTTTTACATATTGCACCTGCAATTCCTGGAAATGTTATAAATTTTCCTTGCTCAGACAATATTGTTTCACTATAACCATCACAGCATTGTTGCAGGAGCAATTTCAAAGGGGTATATCAAGCCACACTCTGTTTAGTAGGGTCTCTCTCTTTCGGTCTGTCTGAATGCTTGTGTGTGTGTGTGTGTGTTTGGTCGTTCACTGATTTACACCCTCAGCATGAGACGAGTAAGATGCTGGTTCATCTCTCTCATATCCTTCTTCTCAGATCTTCGATTCCTTGTCCGTTAAAATAAGTTCCCCACTCTGTATCTATAAAGCTGCAACTTTTGTTTTCTGAACTTGTATGTGTTTTTATAGAGTACTCTTCAATTAATAAATTTTTGACTTCATTATTTAATTCTCTTTAATAAAAACCACTTAATTAATAAAAACATAAGAGACACCAATGTTGGATCAGGCCAAAGGCCCATCCAGTCCAACACTCTGTGTCACACAGTGGCCAGAAATACCAGGTGCCATCAGGAGGTCCACCAGTGGGGCCAGGACATTAGAAGCCCTCCCTCCCACTGTTGATCCCCCCCCCAAGCACCAAGAAGACAGAGCATCACTTGCCCCAGAGCCCCTATCTATACCTTGTGGCTAATAGCCACTGATGGACCTCTGCTCCATATGCTTATCTAATTCCCTTTTGAAGCCATCCATGCTTATAGCCGCCACCACTCAGCATAGCATTGGCCTTCTTTATTGCAGTCACACACTGTCTCGACATTTTCAGTGAGTTATCTACTACAACTCCAAGATCTCTCTCTTGATCTGTCTCTGCCAGTTCAGACCCCATCAACGTGTATTTATAGTTAGGATTTTTGGCTCCAATGTGCATCACCTTGCACTTGGCCACATTGAACCCCATTTGCCATGTTGACGCCCACTCGCCCAACTTTGACAGATCCCTTTGGAGTGCCTCACAATCCTCACTGGTTTTCACCACCCTGAACAACTTCGTATCATCCGCAAATTTAGCCACTTCACTGCTTACTCCCAACTCCAAATCATTAATGAACAAGTTAAAAAGCAGTGGACCAAGTACTGATCCCTGTGGTACCCCACTGCTTACACCCCTCCACTGGGAGAACTGCCCATTTATACTCACTCTCTGTTTTCTATTAATTAGCCAGTTTTTGATCCATAAAAGGACTTGTCCTTTTATCCCATGATTTTTGAGCTTGCTTAGGAGCCTTTGATGAGGAACTTTATCAAAAGCTTTCTGGAAGTCAAGGTAAACAATATCTATTGGATCCCCCTTGTCCACATGTTTGTTCACCCCCTCAAAGAACATTAACAGGTTAGTGAGACAAGATCTTCCCTTACAGAACCCATGTTGAGTCTGCCTCAATAGGTTTTGTTCATCTATGTGCCTACTAATTCTTTCCTTAATAATGGTTTCCACCAATTTACCCGGTATCGACGTCAGACTGACTGGCCTGTAATTTCCCGGATCTCCTCTGGAACCCTTTTTAAAGATGGGAGTGACATTAGCTACCTTCCAGTCCTCAGGAATGGAGGCTGATTTTAAGGAGAGATTACATATTTTTGTCAGGAGATCCACAAGTTCACAATTGAGTTCTTTCAGAACTCTTGGATGTATGCCATCTGGGCCTGGTGATTTATCAGTTTTTAAGTTGTTTATCAGTTTTAGGACCTCCTCTCTCGTCACCTCAATCTGACTCAGGTCTTTCAACACCCCTCCCGAACTCAGCGGCTCTGGAGTGGGCAAGCACCTCTCATCTTCCACAGTGAAGACGGAGGCAAAAAATGCATTTAGCTTCTCAGCCATTTCCCTATCATCCTTCAGTACTCCTTTTACCCCTTGGTCATCCAAGGGCCCCACTGCCTCCCTGGCTGGTTTCCTGCTTCTAATGTATTTGAAGAAAGTTTTATTGTTGGTCTTTACATTTTTTGCTACATACTCCTCATATTCCTTTTTTGCCTGCCTGACCACAGACTTGCATTTTATTTGCCATAGCCTGTGTTCCGTTTTATCAGCCTCACTGTGACTAACTTTTCATTACTTAAAGGAATCCTTTTTACCTTTTACAGCTTCCATTACTTTGTTTGTTAACCATGCAGGCTTTTTCCTATACCTATTTGTGCCTTTCCTAACCTGCGGAATATTTTTTTTTTGAGCTTCTGGGATTGTAGTTTTAAATAGTTTCCAAGCCTCCCCAATGGTTTTGACCCTTTCTACTTTTCCTTTCAGTTTCTTCCTCACATGTCCCCTCATATCAGAGAAGTTACCCCTTTTAAAGTTAAAAGTGGCCGTGTCAGTCTTTTTGGCTAATTCCCTATTTATACAAATGTTGAACTCAATAACATTATGGTCACTGTTCCCAAGTGGTGCAGTCACTTTTACATCTCTCACCAGGTCTTGAGTGTTACTTAGGCCCAAATCGAGGATCTCCTCTCCCCTGGTAGGTTCCGTGACCATCTGCTTCATAGCACAGTCATTTAGAGTGTCTAGAAACTCAATCTCTTTTTCTTGACTAGAACACAGATTGACCCAATCAATGTGTGGGTAGTTAAAATCACCTCTTACGACACAGTGTTTTTGTCTAGCTGCTATCTTTAATTCATTCATCATTTTATAATCCTCCTCTATCTTTTGATCTGGTGGGCGATAACAAACTCTCAGTGTTGTTTCCTTTTGGCCCCACTATTTCAACCCATAGAATTTCCAGCCGGGTTCATTTTGAGAGTTCTACTGAGGGGAAAATTCCCGTAAACGTAGGTGGAAATCCTACTTGATTACCCCCTCTCGCATTGGGTTTCCTGGCTAATTCCCCAAGAAACTCAGGAGACCCTCACAACCATAGAATCATACAGTTGGAAGGGACCTCCAGGGTCATCTAGTCCAACCTCCTGCACAATGCAGGAAATTCACAAATACTTCCCCCCTCTACACCCCCAGTGACCACTGATCCACGCCCAGAAAATGGCAAAAAAAATCCTCCAGGATCCCTGGCCTGGAGAAAATCGCTTCCTGACCCCAAAGTGGCGATCAGCATTTCCCTGGTTGTGTAAGAAAGGGCCACAGGAACTAAGCACTGATGCAACCTTCCCTGCCCTCCCTCTCAAGATCTGCCTAAGTGCACAGAACCACCACTAAGGGTAACATAAGGCAGAGAATTATCCACTCGCTCACGTACGTTTCCTACTGCAGTGCAGTGTCTGTACCTTTAGGGCGTTGTTGAAGAGCCTTCCTACACTTTCAAAGCAGCCGCTGGGACGCTGGTGTTCCTCCAACCAGTGGACGGTATCTCGGATGTGCTTTTCGTCAACGAAGATGTAGGATTTTGCCTGGCCAAAAGCCCGAGCCACAAAAGCTGTCAGCCTGCGGAAGTGGGTTGTGGGAAGGAAGAACCACTCAGTACTCTGGTCCCAACATTTTGCAATACTCTCAAAAACTCATGCCCCCCAAAATCTTGCTGGCCTCTACAGTGCTACTGGGCTTGAATCTGGCCATTCGACTGGAGACCAACATGGCTACCCCCAATGTATGTCTGTCTGACTGAGAGTCTGGTCTCGTATCCACGATCCGGCCTGTGTCGGGCGTATTGTGTTGCTTGGCCCTCAGTGTATCTTTTCCCTGACAGAAATCATACCTATGCCCCAGCTGCTATTAGAAGAGAATGACAACACCTTGCTCAAGATGAAAAGAAAGCACCAGGAATGGCAGTCAGCTGTTAAATAAACTGGACAACACAGGTATGGGGGGGGGCTAAAAACGGGCCCTCCAGTGCTGGAAGCATTCCCCCCCCCCCACTGCCAAACTGAAGGAAGAATGCTTTGACGCCATCAGCCACACGCAGTGAAATGTCTGAGAAGGGACCTGAAAGAGGTTTAACACTCTTAGCCTCTAACCAGCTGTCACCTCAGTATAGGTGGGGCCATGGCTCAGGGGCAGAGCAACTGCTTGGCGGGCAGCAGGTCCAAGGTTCAATTCCTGCCATTTCTGGTTCTAAGGATCAGGTGATGTGAAAGACCTCTACATGAGAGAGACCCTTTGGTCCAGAGGTGTGTCTTTGTCATGAGTCCACGTGACTTTTCACCCAACGATCACAGCTCTGGCTGTCTGGCACCAGCCCCATTTATTTATTTATTTATTTATTTATTAAGTTCAATTTACTATCCCGCCCTAACCCCTGGGGGTCTCTGGGCAGCTTACAGAAGGTGCTAATCACATTTTTACAGAATCTAACCTAGGGCCACAGACATATAGGGGTGGTGACTACCCTACCATATTCACTCACCAGGTGTTGCCCTCAGTGTCACGTTGGCCAAAGGCACTGTAGGAACCATTGCTGTGCTGGTAGAGCAGTTGGCGCTGGTGCCCTGTGGGAGAGAGGGCAGGAAACTACCTTTGTGCTTCTTCATACAAGTTTTCAGTAGCTGAGTCTCACATGTGACTTAAAAGCTCACAAGAAGCCTCCAGGTCAAGATGGGGCAACTTATTTCAGACCAGGATTTGCATTTCAGACTCTGCCTGGTTGTTTTCACTGTCCTCGGTTTTGAGATTGCACTTCCGGGTGTTCAAAACACAGCAGTTACTTTACATTGAAATGTACACCCCACTGTAGGCTTTTATCTTGGTGGAATGAGATTAAGAGCAATCGTTCACGTATTGCCGGCAAAGCTGAAGGAACAATTCAAAGTGACGTAACGGTGGAAACATGCCCTGAAAAATCTGGACTGAAAAACAAAGGGAGAAGAGGGCACCTAACGAGTAAGCCCAGCAAGGGAGGAGCGAGTGATGTGATGGTGCCCATTCGTTTGGAGGAAGTCCCCCTAGGCTGGAAGAAGGCTTCAAACTTGAGCCAGAAGGAAAGGCAGTGGGATGCAAATGTTTTCATAAACAAACACAGAAATAAATAAGTTTTGATCAGTAGACTGGTAGGATGGAGGTAGGGTTTCCACCACCACCCCAGACACACCATATCATGTCTGATCCTTCTTTGCATTGTTGCTAAACCTGCAATCTACTGGCGCATTGCTTATTAGACATCTCACGATTGCATTGTTTGACACCGTGTTATCTGCCTTGAGTCTCAGGGAGGAATAAAGTAAATCAAAAAGTGAAATAGAAGACGAAGACAAAGAAGAAGAGGAGGAGGAGGAGATTAGATTTATACCCTTCCCTTCACTCAGAGTCTCAGAGTGGCTCACAATCTCCTTTCCCTTCCCCTCCCACAACCAACCCCCTGTGAAGTAGGTGGGGCTGAGAGAGCTCTTTTGAGAACTGCTCTTGAGAGAACAGCTCTGAGAGAGCTTGTGACTGACCCAAGTCCACCCAGCAGCTGCATGTGGAGGAGTGGGGAATCAAACCCGGTTCTTCCAGATTAGAGTCTGCTGCTCTTAACCACTACAGCAGACTGCCAGCTACCTCTCTTCTCTGAGCCACTTACCCACCATCGGACATCACAGTGGCTCACCAAGGACCAGCATCCCTTGGTCCTCACAGTTAGCTGTGACATCCAGAGAAAGATTTGGGCAACTCGGGGTCTCAGCATCCCCTGGGAAGCAATGCTGTACTCTGCCACTCAGGGCCTCCAGCAAAATGCCAGTGGCTGCTGCAAGAGAGCCCTTCTCTCCAAGCCCCCACAGTTTCTCCAAGATGTTTCTCCAGTGCCTGCAGAACTGTTTTCCTTCTGACATCCTCCCAAGCAGGGGTCATTTCCTGCAGGAGCGCACAGGAGCGGAGCTCTGACAGTAAAGAGCCCATGGGCGGGCACATGCAACAAGCCCCACTCCCTGCTCCCAGCAGCCCTCAGTCAGAGCAAGAAGCAGCCAGGTAAGTTGCAGAGCCCCCCCCCCGGCCCCCCGGTCCAAAACAGTCAAGTGACACCTTTAAGACCAAGTTTTATTCAGGTACAAGCTCTCCCTCCTCTGCGAGGGCAGATCTACACGTCTTCCCCCCCAATAGCTAGCAATCCAAAACAGTCCAGTGGAGCCTGAGCGGTGGGTGTTGCCTTCTGACTCACTTCCGGTGATGTCAGGGGGTGTGGCATATGCAAATAAGTTATGCTAATGCTTTATGCTAATGAGCTCCTGCCCCTCTTTTTCTATGAAATGACCCCTGCTCCCCAGCAAACATCCACTGCATGGCACGGAAACATGCCACAAGGATACCCTTTCAGCCACCATTCCCCTTTCAGGCAGGGTCCCCATTTGCCTGTTTATGGTGGGAGACCTCCAGCCAATTGTAGCCCTTGCCCACCGATGCTCAGCTGATCACTGGGACCAAAGCGTAGAAACATTAAAAAGAAAAATAAGGCCATGTCTACTTACAGGACGTTCTGACCATAGAGTTCCTGAGAATTCCTAGAGCTATCTGGAAATCCAAAGGTGGCTCTAGCAATCACCAGAATCTCTATGGTAATCTTACCATAGAGTTATTGGCAATTGCTAGAGTTACCCGTGTGACTTCTGGATAGCTACCCTTGCTACTTTGGGGGAGCTCTAGGAATCACCAGGACCTCTATGCTCAGAACCCCAGTAAGAAATAAATGACTTATTTCTCATTTTAATTTTTCTTCAGGGACTCTGCCCCCCAACCCTTCTGACCCTCCAACCCACTGCCCAGAAACCCTTCCTACAGGCCATTGTTTTTTGGCTTATAAGTGGGGTCGCACAGGCACTGAACCAACAGTCAGAGCTTCTGCATGGAAACAATGGGAGGAAAGGGGTAGAATTCCAAAGGGAAGAAGAAGCGATTGGATTTATATCCCGCCCTTCACTACCCAAAGGAGTCTCAGAGCGGCTTACAAACTCCTTTCCCTTCCCCTTTCCACAACAGACAGACACACTGTGAGGCAGGCGGGGCTGAGAGAGCTCTGACAGAGACTGCTCTTTTTCAAGGACAGCTCTTATCAGAACTGTGGCTTGCCCAAGGTCATCCAGCCAGGTGCAAGTGGAGGAGTGGGGAATCAAACCCGGTTCTCCCAGATTAGAGTCTGCGCACTTAACCACTACACCAAACTGTTCAACCAGTTCCCCCCTCCCTTGCAGCAAGTGGAAATGTCCTCTCTAGGCTTCTGCCTCTCCCCAGCTCGGGAAACAACAAAAGGCCCAGGAGTGACAACAGCCCTGGCAAGTGGTTAATGAAAACGTATTGGGGAG